GTGCATTTTACTTGATGATTAATGCATGAATGCATGTTCCTACTTTGATAAATGAAGCATTCATTTTTTTTACTTTCTGGCATACTACTTTTTCTTATCCCCTGTCACAACATGTTCCCTATCTCTACCGTCATTATACATTTTCATTCATTGCATTATCCAAATCTCTCAGCACTTGTTATCATCTAACGAAACATTCTTTTTTATTCGCATCCCCCCCGTTCTATACTTGTCTCCTAACTACCTAGACTTTTAATACTCCTACAAAATATTTTCACACTTTTACTCATGTTATTGTGCTTATGTAATCTCATATTTCCAGCAACATCGCAAGAATAAAAGCCTAAAGAAACGCCATGCCAAGTCAAGTGATCCTACTGAGCCTAGTCAAGGTTTTTTCGGGAAATTAGCTGAGGTCGAAGGACAAATCAACTCCATGCCATTAACTTCCTTGGTGAGCGTTGATGAGGCTGTAGAAAAGGCTAAGGCCGACAAAAAACAAATAGAGATTCAAAGCGATGATTATGATGATGAAGATGTGAACGAGTCGGGAAAGAGTCACAGGAAAGGCAGCTTTGTTTTCCGGTTTTGGCACAGTTGCTCCAGTTTCGTCGGTCTATTTGTGCGTTGCAAGGAGCGGGGAACTTACTTGGTGATGGCATATCTTCTCTTCAAACTACTTATGCTCGCCAATGCCATCGGCCAACTCTTTATGATGCAACGATTCCTCGGATTCCCCGCCAACGACACAATGTACGGGCTGATGGTATTGCGTAATCTGTTGGACGGACGTGATTGGCAGGCTACACTCGTCTTTCCCCGCGTTACTTACTGCACGACGCGCCTTAAACAGTTGGGTGTGTTGCACAACACCCTGACATCCCAATGCGTTCTCCCAGTCAATATGCTAAACGAGAAGATCTACATCTTCCTCTGGTGGTGGATATCCCTTGCCGCAGCGTTGGTCGTATTTAGTATCGGATTCTGGTTCAACCGGTTAATTTTTCTTTCCAATGGCAGTCGATTTGTCCTAAAATTCCTCTTACTACATGATAAAGTACGTCAAGTGGAGCGCGAAATTGTTGATAAGTTCGCCAAAAAGTTCCTTCGACGTGATGGCCTTTTTGTGCTGCGCATGATTTATTCGAATAACGGAGAGCTGATCACTTCTGAACTAGTCTGCGAGCTATGGGATTCTTACAAGGCGCGTGTGAATCAAAAGATAAACCCATTTACAGGCGTGGGCTCAGTACATAAAGATACTTCTTCAGGCGATACAGAGGGGAAGGAACGGCATCCAAACGCCTTGTCTACTGACCACAGGCCGACTCCGCCAGTTTTACGGGATGGTATTAAATCTGGGCGCCACGAGACCAACGGTTCTACGGAGTTAAAACAACGAAACCCACCTTATCCAGTTGATGAATCTACAAACTACCATAAACCTCAATCAGTCTTTCCAATCAAACCTGTATATC